CCCCAAAACCCCAAAACCCCAAAACCCCAAAACCCCAGATTCTCACCAAATGATTGAATAAGAATCGTCTGGAATTGACAAATAGTTTATAGAATTTAAATTTAGCGATGAATTTAAAATTTCTTAAAACTTCTTTAACTTTGAGTGTTCTTTGCCCCAAAGAACCATTTTATAAGGTCAAAGTCCTCATCATTCTCTAATTCCTCTTTCTCATTCTCTGTCTTGGTGAACAGCATACTACGGGTTTGCAATGAAGCCTATATCCACAAAATAAAATATGTTCTAAGAAGCATATGCACAGATTAGCCTGGAGCACTTACGTTCTCAGAAAAGCCAAAGGCAAGTATGAAATTGTTAACACGCTTATAACGAGAGGCTTGGGCAAGGATTGATTTTGCTTCTTTATATTCCTTCTCTGCTTTCTCTCGTTCCTCTTGTTCCTTGGTAAGCTTAATCTTCTCACTTTTCTTAAGCTAAGGATGATAATACGAAACTTACCTCTCCTTCCTTCTGGAAATCAAGATAGCTGATGTTTTCAAAATGACGGATATTCCTTGCCATCATGCTCTGTATTGGGTTCCCAATAATACCTGCATCCTTCAGGATGCAGGAAACCACTGTTGAAATCTGGTTATTTTTCTTTTTGAAGTACAATTCTGAGGTCATTCCATTCTTAGGCACCATTTGCTTAATCTTCTTATCTCTTTGAGCCTTGAGTGTATATATCTGAATCAATTCCTTGTATTTCCGCTTTACTATGGCATTTATCTTCTCTGTGTTTATCCATAAGCAGTCATAGATTTTCCTTGCGCTGGCTTCTTCGAAACCAATTATCCAATTCACCTTCGAAAGATGTGATTCGTTAAGGGATTTAAAGGGAGCATTTTTAGCTTGCTTCATTCTAAGGTTCTGTGAAGAGCTAATCCCATGCATCCCTTTTCTTGGCACATCAGAGAATTGAGGTTTTTCATGGCCCAATGTTTGTACACTAGAGCAAGAGTCAGGCCCTGAGGTTTCATCATCAGAAGAGTTTACCTTCACAGAGTTGGTAACCTCGAATGAGTAATTAAAAGAGTCGGATTGCTTAACCTTCTGTCTAGTGACTTTTGTGTCACTATCTGACACATGAGTCGAGGAGCCTCCTCTCTCACCTTTGATGAAGAAGTTATTACTCTGGTGGCTTTCACAAAGATTGGTCAGATCGAAGCCACAGAACTCTCTTTGGAATGACTCAGTACATTCGCTGGAAACTCTTTTATCATAGTTTCCTCTGACTTTAGAATCTTTCTTTAAGGAAAGAAAGGCTATTGATATAATCACCCTGAAAATGGTTGTCATCGAGATCTCTTGAGCCTTCTCAGTAAGTAGATGGGGAAAAAGAATTGTCAGAGGCATGTCCAGCATTGATTTTGGCTTCTGATGGATATCATTGTTGGAAATGCTCTCGTTTTTGACTGTTGAGTTGCAACTGATGGTGTAAGGAAAGCCAGAAGCGATCGCACCAGCATTATTATTTGAATACCCTTCTTTCTGTGATCCCTTAAAAATAAGCTTCTCTAGCATATGATTCGAGCTAATATTCAACGAATCATGATCAACAGAGTTCAAAAGAATTATACCCTTCGCGATCTTCTTCGAATCATCCAAATTACACCCCGCTCTGGGCATAAAATCATTATAAATCTGTGCATAATCCTCACTAATCTCACTTCCCTCCTCTCTCTTCCCATAAATCCCATCCACTGGCACCTTCTTTGCCTTCAGCCATTCCTTAATCTTCACTGTGTTCTTCCTAAGATTCTTCTTAATGAAGATCACAACTTGGAAGTAATTACAGAAGAGCTTCAGGCCGGGGCCTGAACCACTTCTGGTAATCATTTTGAAATTTTTGTCTTTCCAAAGATTTTCTTTGTGGAACACACCGATTATTCCTTCGAAAGTGATGATAAGCAGAGGTCTATCCATCATGTGCATTCTTCGAGAGAAATCAATTCTTTTAGTGTTTCGGTAGAACTTGTTAGTAGATGGTAGTAGATGAATTCCTTGTGTATTAGCTCTTTGATTATGGCTAAAATGGCCCATTCTTTTATCATTCTTATTAAGCTTCATTGCTTTTAGAAATCCTGAAGAATCACTCATGCGGTAGTGACCATGACCAGAACTCTTTGTAGAGCGTTGTGCTGAGTGGTAGTTTTTGTTAAAACCTGTTCTTCTTGTCTTTGTACCATAATTTTTCCTATTTTCTGATGGGATAATTGGTCCTTCTTGACTTGCCACACTACTAACTTCTTGATCGCTCACAGGACGACTTGGAATAGCATTGCTTGAGTTCGATCGAATTTTGGCTAAAGACCAATTAAAATACAATTTTCATACTTATATGTGAAGAAGGAATTGAAGCATTATTTGCTTTTGGGCTTTTTGGTAGTCTCCTCTTAACTCTTGTAGGATTTATAGCAATTCCCTCAATCTAAACAAGTTATATCTTGACTACTTAACAGTATCATCTGAAATCTCAGAACCTTGCAGCTGGGATTGAAGGATCTGTGCCTCTCACAGCTGATTCGTACTCTTCATGTTTCCATTTTTGAATGATGGTTGATGAATAATATTGCTATTTAAGCGTAATTCCTGTATCAGAATTCTCACTGATCTCACTCTTCACTCCGGAATTTCTAATCTTTAAAGGTCTGTTCACAATAGAGTTCTTAGTACTAAGAGAGTTTTGAGTGGCCATGAGACCCTCTATCCTCAGCTCTTTTCCATTACATTCGCCATTGTTTGTAATGGTGGAAATTTTATTTTTCTAAATTTGTATAAATCACTGGAAAATAAGGATGCCAAAATTAGGATAAAGATGACTCACAAGTCTCATGAATGAATGATTACCCTTACTATTCTTTGAATCAAAAGTAGCTTGGCGTGACAGACCCTTCTGCTTCCTAAAGTCCATATTCTCAGCTAGGCCCATTGGGCCAGATGTAGGATTATGGTAAAACTGGCCCTTAGGAATATCAACTCCTCGGATAGTTTTAGTCCTCTTAGAGCGTCTGGATTTAGCAACCCGCTTAGACTTTTTCTTTTGAAATAACTTCTCATTTGGCTCCTGGGTTTGACTGGGATCTTCAGCTTCTTTCTTTTGGTACATTCCATGCTCAGTTGCTCTATTTTGATCATTCTCTTTCGCTAAGTTGGAGGAGTTGATCCTGCTTGGCTTTCTAGAATTCGCATCAATGAAATTATTGCTGAAGTTTGCAATCCCTGAAAACACCTTTGAGTTAGAACTCAAGTGTGCAAGGGATTTCTCCTTTGCATGGAAGGATTGAAGGTTCTGGCCATCTTGAGTAGGGTTTCAATTCATGAAGAGGTTGGCTTCATTAGGTATTACCCTTATTTAACCCTCTGTTCTTTACGAAAGATGTTGACTTTTCCATAAGATTCATTCTCTCTTTTGATCTGAGAGGTAGTATCTCACAATATCCTTCCTCTAAGTTGGAATTTGGATCAAGACTTTTCTTAGACCTGTTCCTCTGTTTAGAAGGGAAATTGTTATTAAAGGATTTTAATTTGGTCCCTGACCTTTTATCATGAGGGTCCCTGAGAATGTTCCTCTTACGTTTTGGGATTTTAGACCTCTTAGCAGCTGTCTTTGGTTCTAAAGATAAGAAAGTATATTACTCTTTGGAGCTTTTGTGGGACGAGACTGGTAATTGTCAGAAGAAGTTTTCTCTTGGTTCGGAGTTATAGTTTGTGGCTTTGATATTTTAGAAAAGATCACACCATCAGTTATTGGCTTATCTGGCTGAAAATATTAGAAATTGAGAGATACCTGAGCCGTTTGAGAAGGAGGTTGATTAGTGTTCTGAGATATGCTCAGATTTGATTTATAGTATTGGTTACTGTAATTCAAATTCAAGTTGGAATTCAACATCGAACCTCAATTATTTTCATCTAAATCAATATCAGAATCGCTCTTTTCACAACTTTACTCAAAACCTGTTTAAAAAAATTCAAAATCCAAAAAAAATCAACCCTAATCCCTACCCTCCAAAACACCCTATTAACCCCTCAAACACCATTTCCCACCCCTTCATCCCTCAATTCCCCTTCTTTTCTCCAAATATCTCCTCTTTAACCCCTCCAACCCCTCAAAACCCTTCTCAACCCCCCTTCTTCACCTCTTCCCTTCTACTGACCCCAAAATCCTCTTTCCTTATCCTTCTACCCACCTTCAAAATGATCTGCGTAGAAGCCACGGCATAAATCATATACGTTATCCATTTCCATGTTTCTTCAAGAATTATTATCAATTTAAATTATTCCATAGGGGTTTTGGGGTTTTGGGGTTTTGGGGTTTTGGGG